GGGAGGAGCCTGTCACTCTAGAGTCATGACATCTGGGTGGAGCCTGTCACTCTGCAGTCATGACACCTGGGGGGAGACTATAACACTACAGCCATGACTGCTTGGGGGAACCTGTAACTATACAGTCATGACACCTGGGGGGAGCCAGTCACTTTGCAGTCATGACATCTGGGGGAAGCCTGTCACCCTACAGTCATGACTCCTGGGGGGAACCTGTCACTCTACAGTCATGACACCTGGGGGGGGACGTGTCACTCTATAGTCATGACACCTGGGGGGGAGCCTGTCACTCTACAGTCATGACACCTGGGGAAGGACTGTCACTTTATAGTCATGACACCTGGGGGGAGCCTGTCACTCTACATTCATGACACCTGGGGGGAGCCTGTCACTCTATAGTCAGGATAACTTGGGGGGAATGTGTCATCTACAGTCATGACACCTGGGAGAGCCTGTCAATCAACAGTCATGACACCTAGGGGGAACCTGTCACTCTACAGTCATGACACCTGGGGGAAGCCTGTCACTCTACATTCATGACACCAGGGTAAGAGCCTGTCAATCTACACTCATGACACCTGGGGAAGAGCCTGTTACTCTACAGTCATGACACATGGGTGGAGCCTGTCACTCTGCAGTCATGACACCTGTGGGGAGGCCTGTCACTCTACAGTCATGACACCAGGGTAAGAGCCTGTCAATCTACACTCATGACACCTGGGGAAGAGCCTGTTACTCTACAGTCATGACACATGGGTGGAGCCTGTCACTCTGCAGTCATGACACCTGGAGGGAGCCTGTCACTCTACAGTCATGACACCTAGGAGGAGCCTGTCACTCTGCAGTCATGACACCTGAGGGGAGCCTGTCACTCTAAAGTCATGACACTTGGAAGGAGCTTGTCACTCTATAGTCATGACACCTGGGGGGGCCTGTCACTCTACAGTAATGACACCTGGGGGAGCCTATCACATTAAATCCATGACACCTGTGGGGGAGCCTGTCACTCTGCAGTCATGACACCTGTGGGGGAGCCTGTCACTCTGCAGTCATGACACCTGGGAGGAGTCTGTCACTCTACAGTCATGACACCTGGGGGGAGCCTGTCACTCTACAGTCATTATACCTTGGGGGGAATGTGTCCTCTATAGTCATAACACCTGGGGGGGAGCCTGTCACTATACAGTCATAACACCTAGGGGAGCCTGTCACTCTACAGTCATGACACCTGGGGGGAGCCTGCTACTCTACAGTCATGACACCTGGGGAAGGACTTGTCACTCTACATTCATAACACCTGGGGAAGAACCTGTCACTCTAGAGTCATGACACCAGGGTGGAGCCTGTTACTCTACAGTCATGACACCTGGGGAAGGACTTGTCACTCTACATTCATAACACCTGGGGAAGAACCTGTCACTCTACAGTCATGACACCTGGGGGGAGCCTGTTACTCTACAGTCATGACACCTGGGGAAGGACTTGTCACTCTACATTCATAACACCTGGGGAAGAACCTGTCACTCTAGAGTCATGACACCAGGGTGGAGCCTGTCACTCTGCAGTCATGAAACCTGGGGAGAGCCTGTCACTTTACCGTCATGACACTTGGGGAAGAGCCTGTCACTCTACCGTCATGACACCTGGGGGGATCCTGTCACTCTATACTCATGACACCTGGGGGGAGCCTGTCACTCTACAGTCATGATACCTTGGGGGGAATGTGTCCTCTACAGTCATGACACCTGGGGAAGAGCCTGTCACTCTACCATCATGACACCTGGGGGGATCCTGTCACTCTATACTCATGACACCTGGGGGGAGCCTGTCACTCTACAGTCATGATACCTTGGGGGAATGTGTCCTCTCCAGTCATGACACCTGGGGTGATCCTGTCACTCTGCAGTCGTGACACCTGGGTGGAGCCTGTCACTCTACGGTCATGACACTTGGAAGGAGCCTGTCACTCTCCAGTCATGACACCTGGGGAGAGCCTGTCTCTCTACAGTCATGACACCTGGGGGGATCCTGTAGCTCTGCAGCCATGACACCTGGGGGGAGCCTGTCACTCTACAGTCATGACACCTGGGTTGAGTCTGTCACTCTACAGTTTTGACACCTGGGAGGATCCTGTCACTCTACAGTCATGACACCTGGAGAGAGCCTGTCACTCTACAGTCATGACACCTGGGGAGGCCTGTCACTCAACAGTCATGACATCTGGGGAGGCCTGTCACTCTACAGTCATGACACCTGGTTGGGGAGCCTGTCACTCTACAGTCATGACACCTGGTGGGGAGCCTGTCACTCTGCAGTCATGACACTTGGGGGGAACCAGTCACTCTACAGTCATGATACCTGGGAGGGGAGCCTGTCACTCTACATTAATGACACCTGGGGGCGAGCCTGTCACTCTACAGTCATGATACCTGGGGGGAGCCTGTCACTCTATAGTCATGACACCTGGGGAGACCCTGTCACTCTACATTCATGACACCTGGGAGGAACCTTTCATTCTATATTCATGACACCTGGGGGGAGCCTTCACATTACAGTCATGACACTTGGGGGGAGCCTGTCACTCTACAGTCATGACACCTGGGGGATACCTGTCACTCTACAGTCATGACACCTGAGGGGTGCCTGTTACTCTACAGTCATGACACCTGGGGAGAGCCTGGCACTCTATAGTCATGACATCTGGGTAGAGCCTGTCACCCTAAAGTCATGACACCTGTGGGGGGAGCCTATCACTCTACAGTCATGACACCTGGGGAGAGCCTGTCACTCTAGAGTCATGACACCTGGGGGGTGGCGGTAACTCTATAGTCATGACACCTGGGAGGAGCCTGTCACTCTACAGTCATGACACCTGGGGGGAGCCTTCACATTACAGTCATGACACCTGGGGGGAGCCTGTCAAAAATCTACAGTCACCTGAGGGGTGCCTGTTACTCTACAGTCATGACACCTGGGGAGAGCATGGCACTCTATAGTCATGACATCTGGGTAGAGCCTGTCACCCTATAGTCATGACACCTGGGTGGAGCCTGTCACTCTGTAGTCATGACACCTGGGAGGAGCCTGTCACTCTACAGTCATGACACCTGTGGGGAGCCAGTCACTCTACAGTCATGACACCTGGGGAGAGCCTGTCACTCTACAGTCATGACACCTGGGGGGAGCCACTCTACAGTCATGACACCTGGGGAGAGCCTGTCACTCTACAGTCATGACACCTGGGGGGGGCCTGTCACTCTACAGTAATGACACCTGGGGGGAGCCTGTCACATTACAGCCATGACACCTGGGGGGAGCTTGTCATTCTACATTCATGAAACCTGGGAAGAACTTGTCACTCTACAGTCATGACACCTGGGGGGGGGGGAACCTGTCACTCTACAGTCAAGACACCTGGGGAAGCTACTCACTCTACAGTCATGAAACATGGGGAGAGCCTGAACTCTATAGTCATGACACCTGGGGGGAGCCTGTCACTCTATAGTCATGACACTTGGAAGGAGCCTGTTACTCTATAGTCATGACACATGGAGAGAGCCTGTCACTCAACAGTCATGACACCTGGGGGGATCCTGTCACTCTACAGTCATGACACCTGAGGGGAGCCTGTCACTCTAAAGTCATGAAATGTGGAAGGATCCTGTCACTCTATAGTCATGACACCTGGGGAGAGCCTGTCACCCTACAGTCATGACACCTAGGTGGAGCCTGTCACTCTACAGTCATGACACTTGGAAGGAGCCTGTCACTCTATAGTTATGACACCTGGGGGGAGCCTGTCACTCTACAGTCATGACACCTGGGGGAGCTTGTCACTCTACAGCCATGACACCTGGGAGGAACTTGTCAATCTACAGTCATGACACCTGGAGGGCGTCTGTCACTCTACAGTCATGACATCTGGGAGGGGGGGAGCTTGTCACTCTACAGTCATGATACCTTGGTGGTGGTCTGTCATTCTATAGTCATGACACCTGGGGGCGGAGCCTGTCAATTTACAGTCATGACACCTGGGGGCAGAGCCTGTCACTCTACAGTCATGACACCTTGGGGAGCCTGTCACTCTACAGTCATGACACCTGTGGGCGGGGCCTGTTACTCTACAGTCATGACAGCTGGGGGGGGAACTTGTCACTCTATTGTTATGACACCTGGGGAAGAGCCTGTCACTCTACAATCATGATACCTTCATGGTTGCCTGTCACTCTATAGTCATGATACCTTGGTGGTAGCCTGTCACTCTACAGTCATGATACCTTGGTGGTGGCCTGTCCTATTACAGTAATGGCAGCCCTTCAAATTCGCTGGACACCTCAGCTCTAGAAGAAGAAGGTGCCCCCCTGGGTTCACCCTGACAGTCCTGCTTTGTCCTGGCTCTGGATTTCATCTTCACATCCTCTGAAAGGGCCTGTCCTGTTCCCCAACTGACCTGTGGCCACATGGCTCTGGTCGGCTGTGGCGCAGTAAACCCTTCCTTGTCTTCATCCTCCCTAATGCGCCTGGCCGCTTCCCCAGGAGCCCCTGCTGTGCTGGTTTCTGAGGTGCCCCTCAGTGAGCCCCTGCTCCCCTACATGAACCCGCCACCCTCAGGACCCAGGCCACTGTCCCTACACTACTGGCTGCTGACCCTCCTCGGTAGAGGAGGTCACGTCCCCCCGGGGTTCAATCCTGGGTTGGTACCCATCTCAGGACTGGCTGGACCCAGGCCTGTCTCCCCTAAGCTCCAGAGAAGGCCATCTGCATCTCCCTCCTCGTGCTGACCCTCCCGCCCTGGAGGCATGTCTCAGCCCCCTCCACGCTCCATCCCAATGGGTTCTGAAAAGCTTCTAGGGTCCAAATCTCTTTCCCACCTTCCTGTGTCAACGTTACTATTTTGTTTTGATTCTTTTCACTTAGGAGAAAAATATATAGGTGACATTCATTTTCCTTTTGTTCTTTTGCTGTTTTCCTATATTTTCAGAATTTCAAATTTTCCTTTCTTTCTTTTTTATTTTATTTATTTTTTTCAAAGAGCAAATAATCAGGAAACAAATCCAAGAGGCTATTTTGCCAACTGGCGTGAGGCTAAGGGCGGGTGGCCCTTCCTGGCCCTGCAGCCAGCCACTATGGGCAGGGGAAGTGCAGCAGCAGCAGCACAGAGGGGCTCAAAGCCCGGATTCTGGCCCAACAGAGCCTCCCATTCTGTGCTTCCATCCCCAAATCCCATGCTTTCTCACTTCAGAGCGTCCACGTTCAACCTGCCAAATGCCACTAAATCTGCAAATTAAACCTCTGATTACAGAATTCCTTTTGATGTAAAAAAAATGTGGGGATTTTTAAAATGTAATTATTCATACACTAAGATTTTAATTGTGCTTCTTTTCTCCCTCTCTCGCCTTTTTTTTTTCCCAGGGCAGGTGATTCCCCTTCTGGGCCTGCCCGGGCAGCGCAGGGGCCGGTGCAGGAAGGAGCCTGCAGGACTTTCTGATGCGGCTCAGGATGCTCCATTCCAGGAACTGGGAAGGGGCCTGGCTAGTAGCTGGTGTCCCAGCCTCGGCCCACAGCCCCCTCCCCACCGCAGCCAGTCGACATCATGGGGAGTCCCTCCTGGGGCACGTTGGGCCTGGTCTGGAGCCAGCCGGTCACACTCTGGAACCCGCTGCGGAGGAGGACAGTAGAGGTGGGGTGGAGCTGCCCTCTCTCTGGGCCATTCCTCCTCGGTAACTGCCACCCACTGTGGCTCTGCAGATTGGTCATGAGGAGCCTCCCGTGTAGAATCTTAGCACCCTGTCATTTCCTTCCTCAGCGAATGGTCCTCGTGTTGAAGCAGGTATCAGAACTTCCTGTCCCTCACGGCTGGGTGGTCATCTGTCCTATGGACGGACCACGTTCTGCTCCCCTACTCACCTGCAGATGGACACTTGGGGGCTTCTGCCTTTGGGCTCCTGTCGATGCCGTGGCTATGACGTGATGTGTGACAACTTTGAGTCCCTGCTTCAGGTGTTTGGGTGCACCCCCAGAAATGGGGCTGCTGGATTATAGGGTACGGACTGCTCTTTTAGACGTGACCACTAACCCATTTTATTCCACTGTTTAGAAAAAATTCAACCCCTCTGGGAACCCAGCAGGATCTGCACGATGGGGTCCCTCAGGGAGCTTATCCCACCCCACTTCCCAGAAGCCCCGGTCACAACCACACTGACCTCCTTGGGGACTCCCGACACCCAAGCCCTGCCCCGCTGGGCCCCTCTCTAATGCTCTCTTCTGGGTTCTGATTCCCAGAGCCCTGGTCAGCCATACGGAGCAGCCCTGCCCTCCCGTCATACACTGTGCCCTGGGCCTGTGCCCCTCGTCGGCCCCCATGCTCACTAACCTGTGTCTTTCTCTATTGCCTCCTCCTATTGTCCTCAGGGGTGAGAGCTCCGGAGCAGCAGGCACTTCACCTGGTCACTATGTGCCTGAAACCCACCTGGCTTGCAGCACTTCTCCTTCGACCAGGCTGCAGGAATGAGGGGATGAACCTACTTTCCACGTGCTGGAGAGGGCACAGGGTTCTCCAGGTCAGCATCAAGGCCCAGGCACCTAGGAACAGACACCCTCTTTGAAGGCTGGGGAGGCAAATGTTAGATTTGCATTTACTACAGTGAATAAGACTGGAAGGAGTGAGCAGCCGACACCACAGGAGTCCTGCTCCTGGCTGCAGGCAGGAGGGTCCTTCCTTCTGAGGGCTCTGGAAGAGCTGCAGACTCCTCTGGCTTCTGGTGGCCAGGACATTCTCCCAGGTCCTGCCTGTGCAGGTTTGTCTCTGGTCCACATTTCCCCTTTTGTAAGGACACGGTCCTGTTGGGCTGGGGCCATCCTAATTCCTCCCGCTGAGATTGCCATTATTTCCAAGCAAGGTCACCGCACAGGCCTAGAGCTCACAATTCCGTCACCATTTGCAGGACACAGTTCATCCCAGAAGAGGGAATAAATGCCTGTGTGCGGGGTGGGCTCAGGGGCAGGGGGCAGGGCAGGAGGGTCCTGTCGGTTGCCCTTTCCTCCACAGAATGTCAGAAGCCAAGGCTGGAAAGCCCAGCCCTTGGCAGACCAGGCCACTGAGGCCAGGGAAGGCACCTTGTCTCTGTTCCCACGGACAGGCCAAGTGCGCTCATGCCCATCGGGCCAGGACCAGAGCATGCTGAGGCAGAGGCTGTACACAGGGTGAGCGTCAGGGAACAGACCTGCCAGGAAGCGAGGAAGGCAGGATGCGGGAGAAGCTGGCCTCAGAGCCACTAATCACAGGCCCCTGGGAGTCCGGCTGTGCCCTGTCAGGGCTGCAGCTAAGGTGAGGGAGCATGGATGCTGAAGAGGTTCTGGGCAGAGCACCGCAGCATCTACTATGCGGCCCTGGAAATGTCCGGTGCGCAGCCAGCGCTGGGATGGGGAGCCCGAGCTTAGCAGGGCTGTGGCCTGAGTGAGTAGCACCAGTCCAGCCAACCGGCCGTGGCCGGGTGATCCTGGAACAGCAGATGGAGGAGCCCATGGCCAGCAGCGCATCCCGACCTCGGGAAGCAGCGGGAGGCTGAGATCACGATATCTGTATCCTCTGGGCTGCAGAACCCCTGAGACTTCCTCCTCCCCTCCTCGAGAGGCCTCCTGGCTCCCTCGGGTCTGAGGATTCTGCAGTGCGCTGCCTCCTGACCGTGTGAGTGTCCAGGATGCCACGACACAGTGCCACAGGCTGGGCGTCCTCAGCTCTCCACCCAGTGCTGGAAACTGTGCCTTCCCGATGAAGGAGTCAGCAGTGTCCCCCAGGGACGGCCAGGGAGAGGTGCTCCTCCAGGGATGGCCATGGAGAGGTGCTACCCCCAGGGATGGCCAGGGAGAGATGCTCCCCACAGGAATGACCATGGAGAGGTGCTCCCCCCAGGGGTGGCCACAGAGAGGTGCTCCCCCCAGGGACTGCCAGAGAGAGGTACTCCCCCAGGGACGGCCACGGAGAGATGCTCCCCCCAGGGATGGCCACGGAAAGATGCTCCCTGGCCAGAAGACAGCTGCCTTCTCCCTGCCCGGGGTCTTCCGTCTGCAAGGGTCAGCTCCGATGACAGGATGCTTCCCTCTGAGAACACCTGGGCCAGTGCCGAGGGTCAGGTCCCGGCTGTGACACTCCTCTCCAGTGGCCTCATTCTTCTGGAACAGCCCTTTTGAAGACCTCCAGAGATACCACATTCTGGTCACTGCGGTTAGCACCGTCAGGAAGGGTACATGGTGCAGCCCCTACAACGGCAAGACCATATCCTTCCACGCTACAGTGACGTGCCTGACACACGCTCTCCAGGGCTCTGTCATTAACTGCCCAGCACTGGACAGAAGCCCACCGAAGTGACCGACCTGGTGGCTCCTCTACTCCATCCCTGAGTGTGTTTGGGGGTGTCTTCTAGAAATTGCTGGAGGTAGGCTCTGCCTTCTCCAGGATGCTGCCTTGGACCTAGCTGGCCATCACAACCACAGCAGGGACTGATAAGTGCTGGGTGTTCCCTGGCTATGGACACCACACCCAGGCAGGAGCAACACTTCTGTCCCAAGGAGTCTCACTCTCTCCCTTGGCAGGACAGTGACAGGAAAAGCTGCTGCCCAATGCAGGGCTGGCCACGCCCATGGGCAAGGGGCCTGGGAAGGAACAGAACACAGCCGGCCCCCTCACAGACCAGGACAGCAACGCTGAGGGGGACAGGAGGGTCTTAGAGGTCCCGGCTGCGACACTCCATCCTCAGGACAGGCCTGTGTGCGGGAGCCTCTGCCGATGTGAGCAGCCTGCAGCACAGACCAGGGCCAGGCTCAGAGCTTCCTGTTGTCCAGGAAAGACCAAGCTCTCCAGAGGTCCTGACAAGTGCTCCAGAGGTCCTGATGAGCTCTCCATAGGTCCACACGAGCTCTCTAGAGGTCCACAGGAGCACTCCAGAGGTCCACAGGAGCACTCCAGAGGTCCAAAGGAGCGCTCCAGAGGTCCACACGAGCTCTCCAGAGGTCCACACGAGCTCTCCAGAGATCTACAAGAGCTCTCCAGAGGTCCACGCCAGCTCTCCAGAGGTCCTGATGAGTGCTCCAGAGGTCCTGCTGCAGGGCCACTCTGCTCAGAGGTCCCCAGCCTCCCCAAGTACTGAGGGCCTTGCCCCTCTCTGCTCATGGGGCAAGGTGGGTACAGCAGTTCCATGTGTCCCCATGGGCAGGACCCCGTGGTAGGCACAGGCTGGAACTGCAGAGGGGAAGGGGGTGCCTCGGCTGGGGTAGAGCAGCCGCACTTGCCTGAGTCTCAGGCTGGTCCCTGACTCACCTTTTCTTGAGGATTTGCTGGTCCACTCCTGGCAGGGCCAGCTGATCTCTTTTCATCCAGTCAACTACCTATGGGGTATGGGGGAGGTGTGGCCTGGAGTACCCTTGAGAAGGGAAACATGAACTCTGCTCCTGGGTTTTCCAGTGTCTGGTGTATTGACTGTTTTGTCGGCGCCTTCCTGAGCCTCAGTTTCCCTGGGGAGAAGCTGAGAACCGCAATGTCCACCTCATTGTTGCAAGGTTTAGAGAAAGTATATGAAGAACCTGGATGTGCCCAGTATATAGTTGATGTCAAGAAGTGACCACTCTGGACAGATCTGTCTCCCCTGGACAGAAAGCTTCTGTGTGCCACCCCTCCTTCCACAGTCTGGAATAACATCTTCAGAGGCATCCAATGAAATACATGGAAGAAGAGAAAAGCTGGTTATATTGAAGCACAGAGACCGACATATTTTAAAACACAATATAGAAATGCACCTTTTATTGATAAATAACATTGTGTTGTGTCTAATAATATTTCAAAGTATCCAAGAGTGTTAGTGATAAGCCGGGATACTTATAACTGCTTGAATGTCACCTAGAAACACCAGTGAGTTCCATAGATGACAAGTGCCAGGCGTGGCTAACTCGCAGGTTGGCCACCAGCTGGTGTGCCTGAGGGAAGGTCTAACCTTGGCAGCACTAGAAAGACACAGCTTCTTCCCCTCCAAGTTCTCAGACCCTCTGAACTCCAACCACGAGCCCCAGGCAATTAGTAGACCTCAAGTTACAAGCCTGCCCTGGATTGGGAGGAGGAAGGGTCCTTTTCCACCAAGACCCCAGTGATGGCTGCAGCAAGGTAATACCTAAAGGGCCCGGCAAGAGAGCAGAATCAGGAAAAAAGGCCCCAGAGCTGCGGTTGGGCCTTCTTGCCAGACCTGACACCTGGAGGGGTCTGGCCTCTCCAGGGGCAGCCTTAGCTGGGGTCTTCCCCTGACTGGGTCAAGCCAGTGGTCTTCCACTTTCTATGCTTTGGAAAATAGCTGCTGGAACCTGAAGAAAGTGCCCAAGCTGGGACAGCTGACCCTCAGAAGGTCCGTGTCCAGGTTCCCCTCCCAGGGCCAAGTCCATCCTGGCTGCCCAAGGGAATGACAGCAGAAATTGCTGTGCAGCCTGAGAGCCAGGGTCCTCAGCTACCGTGCCCGTGGCTGTGTGACCTTGTCCACTCCCCTCTCTGAGCCCCAGTTTGCTCATCTGTAAAGAACAGAGAATGGGCTGGGGATGTGGCTCAAGCCACATGCATGCAGCCCGAGTTCAATCCTCAGCACCACATACAAAGATTTTGTATAAAGAACAGAGATTGGGAGAGAAGTTTCTCACAGGGGCTCCAGGCTCGCATTTTTGCTGTTTGAGAATTCTCTGCCAAAAGAGATTCTCTGGATCGTCTGCCACCTAAAAACTAAGTCTTAACACGTAATTTCAGCGTCTGCCTTTGAACGTGAATTTAACAGTCACAAGCAACAATACCATCTCAGCAGGCACAAGCCAGGAAGGAGAGGCAATAGGACATCCACAGGACAGCTGGACGTCACAGTGGCTGAGATGGGACTTGCCCCTGTGGTTAGAAGAAGTGAAGCACAGGAGCCAAGCCCCAAGTTAAAAGGGAGAGAACCGCGCTAACAGCCCCAGGAAGATCAGACCCCAGGCCAGGCTCCAGGCGGCCAGGGTATCACACAGTGACAGAGACCTTGCTTTCCATGATGCTGTCTGTAGATGTGTTCACACTAGATTGGAATTCGATTTCTGCTCATCCCGCACAAGAGCTGTCAGCATCCAAACTCACAGGGTTCCACGTTTATCCATGTCTCAGTACCTTTATTACAAAGCCAAAAACTACTTAAGACAACATTGGAGGCATGTGTGATTTTTTTTTTTTAAAAAAAGAGGGCGGTCCCAATACTAATTTTGAGAAATAATGAAGTTTTACAGTATCTCTGGAGGCAGGGGGTGTGGCTCAGTGGTGGAGCGCTCACGTAGCATGTGTGCGGCCAAATTCAAACCTCACCACCGAGAGAGAGAGAGAGAGAGAGAGAGAGAGAGAGAGAGAGAGAGAGAGAGAGAGAGAGAGAGAGAGAGAGACCTCTGGGGGCCCCTTGCAATGGTTAATTCCCAGAGAATTAAGTCAGACGGGCACTGTGGTGTGGGCCAGAGGCTGTGGGAGCTGGGAGGAGGACTTTGCGTGTGCTCTGCTGCCCTCTTCTGGCCACTAAATGCACCGGCGGGGGGATGTTTGTCCAGGGGAGCAGGTGGCACCTCGCAGTGACCTTTGTTTGCAGAAGCTCTGCCCAGAGCTGGGCCCCAACCCCTCTGAACTCTTATGCCCTAAATTCATTTGCAAGCAAGCGCTGTCCCTGCCTATGGGCAAGCAGTGAGGGACAGAAGTGATCCAAGCCAGATGAGGGGAGGGGACCCTCCCCAGGTGGGAAGTGACCCCCTCTCCATGTGATTGGCGACCCTCCCCAGGTGGGAGACGATCTTCCCCAGGTGGGAGGCGACCTTCCCTAGGTACAGAGAGACCCTCCCCATGTGAGTGGCGACCCTCCCCATTGACTGGTGACCCTCCCCAGGTGGGAGACGTGGGTCATGAAGACCCTCCACGATGGGAGGTGACCCTCTACAAGTGGAAGATACCTTCCCCAGGTGGGTGGCGACCCTCCCCATGTGAGTGGCGACCTTTCCCAGGTGGGAGACAACCTTCCCCAGGTGGGTGGGGTCCTTCCCCAGGTGGGTGGCAACCCTCCCCATGTGAGTGGTGACCTTCCCCAGGGGCCAAGCCCAGGGGAGTCTCCAGAGGTTTCATGGTGGCTCTGAAGACGGAGCCCTGCCAAGTTTTCCACTTGGCACCTGTTCCAGGCCCTGGCCTGGTCTCCAGAGCAGCTGCCCAAAGGAAAGAGTGCTCCTCGCAGCAGAGATGCACAGGGACAGGCTTACTCCACCTGCTGGTGTCCAACAGGCCTCTGCATTGACCAACCTACTGCGGATAAAAAAGCAGGGTGGAGCCCAGGAGGCCGCTGGAGCAGCAGCCCGGCACCCGCCCTGCCGCCCGGCAGCTCCTCCTGGATCTGCTCCCATGAAGGCTTTCAGGGGAGGCCACATTTGGGGGTCAGGTCCTGGGCATATGGGGTGCTCTGCAGGCCCCTGGGGAGTGCTTAGGTAGGGCAGGAGACCCCAAGCCCATCGCAGCAAGAGCTGGCCAGTGCTGGAGTGGAGGAAGAGGGGCTGCAAGGACCTAGCACCTGTACCGGGAGCCTGTCTTCTGCCCTGGACAGCTCTGGCCTATCCTGCAGCTGCTAGGCCTCCTCCTGCCTTGCCTCTCCCCAGCTGCCCAGCACCGGTGGACGTCTGTAGGGTAGTCCCTGGTCCAACAGGACCGGAGTCCATACAAAAAGTGGAAGTGCAGACCCAGACGCAGGGAAGATCAAGTGCAGGCTGAGGGAGCAGGTGCCATCTGTGGGCCAGAGGGACCCTGGAATGAAGCCAGCCCTGCGGAGCCCTGCACGTCCACCCTGCAGAGCTGAGGAGATGGCTGTCCCTGAGCAGTCAGTGTGACATGTCAGCCTGAGCCGACAGGTATGTGTGCATGCACATCCACACACACGCCACATGCACGCACACACCAGGCACATCTACACACATGCCATGCACATGCACACACACCACACACACCAGACACACACATGCACACACCAGGCACATCTACACACACACATCATGTACATACACTAGGCACATCACACACACACCAGGCACATACATGCACACATGCACACGCACCATGCACATTAGCACACATGATGCACACGCAAGCACACACACCAGGCACACATGCACACCATACACATATGCATACACATGCCATGCATGCACACGCACATACACCAGGCACATCACACACACACCAGGCACACACATGCACACGCACCACGCACATCAGCACACATGATGCACACACATGCACACACACCAGGCACATCTACACACACACACTTCAATGAAAGCAAGCCCCTCATGCCAAGTGAAGCTGGAGCAAGGCTGCGTCCTGCTGCGGCACCCACTGGCTGGCTGGGAGGTCACAAACCCTTCACCTCCGTGAGCCTCAGGCTCCTCTCCTGGCGGTCACCACAGGTCTGCCCTGAGGATCAGGCAAGGTGAAGCACTCCGCACTCCCAGAGTAAGGTCAACTCTGAGGCTGCCGCACCTCTTACCATAAGCAGGATCCAGCACTTTTAAGCCACCTGTGTCTTTTACCAACTGCCTTCTGAAGGGGTCTTCTTGCCTGGAGGCAGCCTTCCCTGGGTCTGCAGCTCTGTAGGGGTCTAACGGTGCCCAGCTGTTCTGGGCGCAGGTTGGAGGTGGACCTGGTCCAGCCACGGGCTCTGCTGGGGTTATCTGGGGACTGAGAGCCACAGTTGGGCCAGTAGTGGTCCCGCTAGCCGGGCCACCAGCCTTGGTGACCTGCAGTGACACCGATGAAGGGAGGGTTCCCTCTCTTGGGCCATTCGCCACTGACCAGGGGCTGAGCCCTTCGTAAAGCACTTTCCAGACTTTGATTCCTTCACTTTACAAACAAGGAGAGGGGGCTCAGAGAGGTTGGGTAACTTGTCCAAGACCAAACAGCCAGCAAGTGGTAGAGACGGAAGTGAGGCTGAGGGTAGGGCCCGTAAGCACCCACAGGGGAGCGGGGAGGAGGACCCCGGAGGGGACACACGGGGAAGGACAGAGGGAGCCCCACAAGAACGCGTGCACTGTCCAGGAGGCTCTGGGATGAAAACTGCACAAGCTCAAAGCCACAGAACCAAGCTCCAGGCCAGCCCCTGCTCCCTCACGGTGCCACCTGCGGGCCATCGCCCCTCAGAGCCTGGGTTTCCTCCTCTGTAAGGTGGGGAAACAGTAGCACCCACTACACAGGTCATCATTGGATTACATGAGCCAATTTTTGCAAACTGTCAAATGGCACGTAGCTGGGGCTCTTGGGGCCACCAGGGGAATTTCTCCCTCTACAAAAACATTTAAAATTCTATTACATTAAAAAATAATAAAATAAAGTTCTATTACACAACTGGGTTGGTGAAGGATAAAAATAACCATTGCTCTTTTGTTCAGGGGGGTACCAAGGATTGACCTCAGGGGCGCTCGACCACTGAGCCACATCCCAGCCCTATTGTGCATTTTATTTAGAGACAGGGTCTCACTGAGTTGCTCAGTTCCTCGCTGTAGCTGAGGCTGGCTTGGAACTCTCGATCCTCCTGCCTCAGCCTCCCCAGCCGCTGGGATTACAGGTGTGTGCCACCAGCCTGGCCACATTGCTCTCTTTTGATTTAAAACAAAAACAAAGACAGGGGCCTGGAACAGTGGGGCACTCCCTCGGCCAGGGCCTGTTGGGCCTAAAGGGAAGAGAGCCACTATGGGACTGGAGTCCTGGAAACTGTCCCGTTGTGGGCTTTGAAGCCCATCACTCTACAGGAGTCTCCTCCCGCCCTCTGGTCCTTCCCTGGGGCTCCCAAAGCCAGGCCTCCGTGTCCATTGTGCCAGCAGCTGGTGCCCTCACACCCTCAGTCCTGGAGCACCATGGAGATGCTGTGTTCTGATGGAATGCCAGGTGCCCACTGGGTCAGGTCACAGCAGCCCTGAGGGTGGGACCAGTGTCTTCTGGCAGCAGTTGACCCTGTGCCTGTCTTCCCTGGACTCTTGGTACGCAGGGCAGGAGGCTGACTCTGAGAGTGCAGGATGCAGGTTTGCCTAAAGCTTCTCCCAGTGCCACAGGATCTGAACCCAGGGACACAGGCAGCTCTGCCCTGGCCCCGAGGTGCAAGCAACAGGCTGCTCTGCTGGGTCTGCACACCGTGCTACCGAGGCTTGCCACTGGCCCCTGGGGTCCCCACCTCGACCCTCTATACTGCAGGTGCCAGACCCACTGAGCAGCGTCCAGAGAGTCTCCTGCCCTAGCTCTTTAGGAGAAGGAGGGTGTCAGGGTGGCTCTAGGGAGCACTCTGGGGTCCAAGGCCCAGAGGAGGCCACTCTAGCGGGCTAAGCAGAAGCACTCGGGGAGGCACCCCTCCACCGCTGGCTCAGGTGCTCGACCGCATCCCGAAGCATCAAGGTCCAGTCGTCCTCCCTCTGCATGGGGGTGCATCGCGTCTCCTTGTTCTCTAGAGCCAGGATATCCGCTGGGGTCTCCGGGGTCAGCCCGGCAGCCAAGACGGCCTCGGGGAACTTGGCTGCAGAGGCAGGGGCGAGGCAGCACCTGGGAGTGCTGTGGAGGGTGGGCAGCAGGGGCAGGGGGGTAGCAGGAGGGTGGGCAAGGCAAAGGCAGAGGAGGAGGAAGGAAGGGGAAGGGCCGGACAGGGAGGCCCAGGGAGGACAGAGGAACGGTCAGTACTGACGGGAGCCTGGAACTTAGCTGAAGCATCCTGCCCTTGCCACTGGACTCCATTGCCCCCTGCTGGCGCCCTGGGTATCCCCTCTTTCCTGCTCTAGGCCACAGGGCCAGGCAGTTTCACAGGCACCCATCACACCACCGAAGCCCCTTCCCCATAATCCTGTGGCCCTGCTTGGGGAAGAGCAGGGATCCTGAAAGTCAAAAGACCCAGAAACCCAGACCCCACGGCCACACCTGGGCTGCTGCCTGTCCAACTGCTGGTAATGGTAGCTCACGGCCACGGCCGAGTGAGGGCACAGCAGGTACCGGTTCTCCTCCCAGCAGCGGCCCATGGCCCTGGTAATGGCCTCATCGGACACCGATTGCGACGTCACTGCCTCAGAGAGCTAGAGAGTCCAGGGCCAGAGGGGGGTTCAGGGGTGGGGGTGCGGGGCAAGAGGACCAAACCCCACCGCATGCCGCACAATGGACATCAGGGACTCTAGGGAGTGCTGGCCCAGCATGCCCTCAGCCTCCCTGTCTTGAGCTGTCCAGCCTGGAGGGAGCTCGGCCGAGGTTTGACGCAACTGGAGACTCAGCACCTCATGTGCAGCCCGGCTCAGCGCAGGGCACACACAGCTCTGGTGTGGCACCCTCCCCCACCCCTACTCAGCACAACCCAGCTCCAGGGGGCCTCCTGGACTCAGAGAAGACCCCTTCTTGGTGCCCCCACCCACTGTGTGCTCGGTCTCTAGTCATCCTCTGATCACATGCATAACGTGCTCATAACACGTGAACACCTGCACACACTCCAGGCCAGGCCACCTGGGCCAAAAGCTGTTCACACGGGCACCTCCCTGAGGAGTCAGAGAGGCAGCCGATTTCCTCCCTCCCTCTCTCCCTCCCTCTCCCTCTCTCTCTCCTTCCATCTCTCCCTATCCCTCCCTCTCTCCCTCTCCATCCATCTCCTTCCCCCTCTCTCCCTCCCTCCCTCTCTCCCTCTCCTTCTCCCTCCCTCCCTCTCCCTCTCTCTTCCTCCCTCCCTCTCCCTCCCTCTCCCTCTCTCTCTCCTTCCATCTCTCCCTATCCCTTCCTCTCACCCTCTCCCTCCCTCTCCATCCCCCTCCCTCCCTCTCTCCCTCCCCTCTCTCTCTATCCCTCTCTCCCTCCCCCTCTCCCTCCCTCCCTCTCCCTCTCCCTCCTTCTCTCCCTCTCCCTCTCCCTCTCTCTCTCCCTATCCCTCTCTCCCTCTCCCTCCCTCCCTGGGCTGGGCTTAATGGACCCAGGCCTGAGGCACCCCCGCCCCCAGGCCAACAGTTGTATTTGTCTCTGTGGGCCCAGCCCTGGGTGCAGTCCTTGGCTCCTAGTAGAGCCACCACTCTACTAGGTGAGTGGTGGCCACAATTCCAGCAAATGGAGTGTCTCCTGCCCACACAGTCAGGGAGAAGACGCAAAAAGGGGACATAGCCTCTGTCTTCACGGGCATCTCGTTTCCGTGAGGGCAGGGGAGGTAGATGTCAACTCCTGAACCAAATGCTCATCTAAAGCAGCCAAAGACACAAGAGCCCCTCAGGTCTGCGTCACACTACCCAGACTACAGAACGTCTCCAGTTCTGAGAACAACCCTTAAAATGGACGCTGACCTTGCAGAACAAGGTTTTATGAGAGATCCCTGAGGGAGCTGAGGGGAGCCTGCGGGCTCCAGAGGTGAGGGACAGAGGATGATTCCGGAGGTGAGGGGCACCAGAAAAAAACGGAAAGACCTGGGTAGTTAGTGAGGACTCTTCGGATATGGGAGAGAAGTGGACACCAAGCCAAAAGGCAGACTGTAGCTCATGTCTGCCCTCTGGTCCCCGGAGGCAGGCATAGCCCTGAGGGACCCTCAGGGAAAACTCAAGCCGACTTCAGAAATTCTGTACTTATACACAAGACAAGGAACCATCACCAAGCTGCATTAAAACAAAAGCGATCCTTTCCAAGTGGATTCCTACAGTGAAGGAAGTTTCTTCTTCTCTAAGAGGGAAAGAGACAGGGAGCAGTGCCTATCCTTGGGAATTTACAGCCTTGGAAAATAAAAATATGACCCTTGCTGTGTCCATTCCACACTGTCAGGCAGCAACCAAGTGCCTCGAGGCACCAGCTGACCTGCATCCCATGGGGCACGAGAGGCCCGGGTCTCGAGTCATTGAGGCAGAGTCTTGAAAACTGGCCAGTGTCTCCAGGCTGGCTTGAGGTGGACCCTGCCTGGCTCCAGCCCAGTCTTCTACTGCCCATCTGATCAGTAAGTCAACCCACAACTCACAGCAGGCCGTCGAAAAATCAGCGTCCCCTTCCCTTGCCCCACATGACAGTTTGGATGTGAGGTGTCCCCCAAAAGCTCAGGTGTGAGACAGTGCGAGGAGGTTCACTGGTGGTGACAGTCGTGACCCAGCGAATTAACCCCAGTGGGATGAACTCAGTGGTGACTGAGTGGAGGGTGTGGCTGGAGGAGGGAGCACTGGGCGTGGCTTTGGTACACCTTTGTATCTGGACAGTGGAGTCTCTGCCTCCTGATCACCGCGTGAGCCGCTTCCTTCGGCCACACTCTTCCACCATGATGTTCAGCCCCACCTGAGCCCTAGGAGTGCAGCCAGCTGCCTGTGGACTGAGACCTCTGAAACCATGAGCTCCCAAGGGAACTTTCCCTCCCTAAAATCGTTCTCATCAGGTCTTCTGGTCACAGTGTGAAAAAGCTGAATGAAAGACCCCAATTTCCCGACCCCACATCAGTGGCATGCATGGCTGTGCCCTCTCCTCTCCGTGGTGTGGGGACTGACCTTGCCATGCAGTTCCTTAGGTAGCTGCACACTTTGGGTCCTCTCAAACTGCTCCATGAGGGCTCTTGTCACCTGGCTGTTGGAGCCGGAGAGCAGCCAGAAGATCCTCTCCATGTTGTAGGGCATCTGGGCAGAGGTCAGGGTCCCAGGCCAGGCCAGCCATCCACTCCAGCAGCCCCACCAGCCAATGCCTGGGCAGGACCCGCTCTCCCCACCTCACACCCACCTGAATGTCCATTGCAGATGCCAAGGACGGTCTGACGGCCTCAGACAGAGAAAAGTCCCCCTGCCGGATGGCCCTGTGGATGATGTCATTGTGGTTCACCATGGCCACCAGGCGGATGGGCAGGCCCATCTTCTGAGCAGTGCACCCAGCTTGAAGTAAGACAGAGAGCAAGTTTTTAGAAACAAAAACAAACTTTTTAAAAACTTGGGCTTCACCCAAATCGAGAAATTCTTAACGCTTCTTAAATATTTTGTGGTTCAAAGGACACTGTCAATGTGAAAACTCATGGAACAGGAAAATATTTGCAAATCACATATCTGATTAGGGACTTATATCCAGAAAATATAAGAAATTCTTACAACTAAACCAAAAGTACAAACAACTCAATTCAAGAACAGGCGAATGATCTGAATAGAGACTTTCCAGAGAAGATACACTAATGACCAGCGCACGTGAAAAGACTCCAACATCCTCATGGAAATAGGTAAATACCAACTCAAACCACAGCGAGACCCACTGCAAACCCACTAGGACGACTAGAATCAAAAGGGCAGATGGTAGAAAGCGCTGGAGGATGTGGGAAACTGGAACATTCCCACACTGCTGGTGGGTACGTAGGATGTTGTTTGGAAAACAGTCTAGAAGTCTCTCAGAAGGGCCACAGGACCCAGCCACTGCACCCAGTCACACATGCAAGAGAAATAAAAATGGAGGTTGACACAGACACCTCACACAAACGTTCCCAGGAGCGGTATTAATGATATCCAAAAAGTTAAAATAACCCAAAAGCCCATCAGCTGGAAAGCGGATAAACAAAACATGGCCGCACAGTGCCCCCTGCAGCCTGGAAACCATCCTGCCAAGTGACAGAAGCAGAAATGACACTGCTGCCTGATGTTACTCCATAAAATGTCTAGAACAGAGAATCAACAAAGGGACTGCGGCCACCTAGGGCGGAGGGAGAAATGGCTCGAGAGGAAAGTGGGTGACCGCTAACGAGGACAGGGTTTCTTTCTAGGGTGTGCTGGTCACGCAGCTCTGTGTGTACTAACGTGCACACTTCAGATGCATGCACATGATACTGATCATACAACAACAAAGATACAGCTGGAGAGGACATTGCCATGCCCTGTTCTCTGTGAGGCTGACCCACACACTGGCCACCTACCAGACACAGAGGCCACTCATTCTCAGGAGAGAAAAGGAAAGTCCCAAGAAACAGGTCAAAATGACCTGTCTGGGGCCTGCTCAGTGGCAGAGTCTAGGTACAAAATGTGCCGTCTAAGTCCAGGGCGTATATGTGTCCTAGGATCAGTGGCTTTGGGTGGCACTTCTGGGATAAGCCTGTGGGGGAGAGGGTGGCCACACAGTGTGGAAGCTGTCAACCTCTGTCCAACCATAGCAGTTCCTATTTGCACAGAGCAACCAAAGCATCCCCTGCCCAGACGTGGGGCAGGTTGGGGAGGGTGTGCTACGTCTGGGACCTGACAACCCAGCACCCAGCACCGCGCCCAACCCCGCAGAGCACTCTCAGTCCTGTTTCACTTGATCCCGGTGAATGTCAGGATGCCCTGAACAAGGAGGAGGAAAAGCACAGGGGCCTCACGGTGGCTGGCAGAGCAGGCACCTAGGAGCACCCTCAGCTCTCATGCCTGTGTGCTCTGCCCTCAGGGTGACCATGGCACCCAGCACAGAACTCACAGGAGGGTGGCACTGGTCACGGCTTTCCCGTCTGTGCATCGCTGCCTGGAGGGCCGTGAGAGGGCAGGAGGCCCTGGCCCTGAGGCCGCTGACCCTCCTGGTCACCACCCACCGTACTCTGCTTTTGGTGGAGGAAGCCACGCTTCCTGGCCACAGAGAGGCTTCTAGGTCCCACCTAAATCACCGGGGGCCTCAGAAGCAAGGCCACACACAGTTACAGAAACAGCAGTACTCTGGTCAGCACCTGCATCTGAGGACTCCACATCTGCAGACTCAAACACCGTCAAAAGTATTTTTGAAAAACTGCATCTGAGCCAGGCACAGTGGCACATGCCTATAATCCCAGCAGCTGGGGAGGCTGAGGCCAGAGGATCATGAGTTCAAAGCCAGCATCAGCAATGGTGAAGTGCTAAGCAACTCAATGAGACCCTGTCTCTAAATAAAATACAAAATCGGGCTGGGGATGTGGCTCAGTGGTTGAGTGCCCCTGAGTTCAATCCCCAGTACCCCTCCCAAACTGCAACTGCACCAAAGATGTGGAGACTTTTTCTTATGATTATTCCCTAAACTGTACAACTATTTACACAGTTTTTTAGTTTTTTTTTTCTTTTTTTTTTTTTTTTTTTTTTTTTTTGTACCAGGGATTGAACCCAGGGACATTTAACCACTGAGCCCCAGCCCCAGCACATTTTATTTACTTATTTTTTTAATTCAAGGGTAGGGTCTCACTGAGTTGCTTAGAGCCTCACTGAATTGCTGAGGCTGGCTTTGAACTTGGAATCCTCCTGCCTACAGATGTGCGCCTCTGTGCTCGGCTACACGGCATTGCATATACTGTATTAGATGTCATCAGTCGTCATCTAGAGGAGACCTACGTCTTCAGGAGGGTGTGCTCAGGCTATGTGTAAACACTACACCGTTTTATAAAAGGGCTATGAGCATCCTGAGCAACACCCCGTGCGCACAGTGGACTGAGACGCCACCCGGTTGGGCAGCACTTCCCCTTACAAGGTTCCAGGGCACACGGATCTCACCTGCCACTCACAGGAGTCCTCAGAGACAATAGGCGTTCCAACCCCTGAACCCAGGGACCACCCCACGCCCATGCCACTGGTACTGGGCAGAACGGAGCCATCCTAGGTCCACAGGCTGCCTCTCTGCACCTGGTCTGTGTGCCCAGCAGCGAGGACATCCTCCTGGGCACCTAGGCTCTATGCCTAGCAGTGGGAACATCCTCCTGGGCACCTAGTCTGTGTGCCCAGCAGTGGGGGCATCTTCCTGGGCACCTGGGCTATGTGCCCAACAGCAGGGAGATCCTCCCATGACACCTGGGCTGTGTGCCCAGCAGCAGGGACATCCTGTGCCACGGAGCTGCTTGCTGCCTCAGCAGCAGCTGGCTCTGCTGGAGCAAGGCCACCACTTCTGGGGGAGGGTGCTGCCACGTGCTGGGCAGCTGACCCTTGGCCTCACATCTCCACACCCTGCTGAGTACACTGGGTCAGGCTCTGGAGCCCAGGAATGGGCCCTCACCCTCCCTCCACAGCAAGCCCACACTGTCCCCAGGAAGGCGGCGCAGGGGAGGGGCACTTGGGCTGAGAGGAGACCTCCTCCCTCCCGTGCCTTCCCAGCCACAGCTCCTGAAGGTGGGGCCATGGAAGCTCCTCTGAAAGCCCATCTGCACAAGAAGCCTCCTTACCTGCAAGGTTCCCAGCAGCCCCTGTTGGTACCACCACCTCCACGGTGGGCAGGGGACACCCATCCAAGGAGGGCGCACAGCGGAAGTAGGCGAAGAAGTAGTGGGCCATCTGCACAAGGACCCGTGACCAGTTGACAGAATTCAGGCTCATCAGGTTGTGCTTCTCCACAAAAGGCAGGTCGGCAAACACGGCCTTGATGGGCACGTCCAGCTGGTCACTGTTCCCTTCCACTGCAGGAGAGGCAGGCGCTCAGGAGCTGAGGAAGCCCCGGACCTCCTTAGGTCACCTTTGCTCAGCTCAGTTCTTGACCTTCATGGGGCTTAGCCTTGACATGAAGACCCAGGAGAGAAACAGCATCTCCTGTTCTGTTCCTGAAATCCACTCACTCAAGAGACCAGAATGCGACACCAGAACTCCTTCCAGCATTCCCACTGCCACAGGAGATAAGACTCAGGGCCAACCTCAGGATGGGGGAGGACCCTCCCTGCACTCCAGGCCCACTCCCCACTCTTGTCCCCCGCGGGAGGATTACTCCCTGGGGGACAGTGAGGGGCTGGCCCTCTGCCCCACAGCTCTCTGGGGCTGGGCTGGCCACGGCACCCGTGACCTGCCGTCACTCAGCTCACATGTAGGTGCCCTGCTCCCCGCGCCTACCGTCAGGTGAGCTCGTGTGGCCGACCCCCCTTCCCTGCAGCAGAGTGGATCATCGACCTTCATGGGCACATTACTGGGCAGACTTAGCAGCTGGCTGCCCATTAGCTGGACGCACACTCCCCTATCCAGCTGGACTAGCAGTGCACCAGCACCAATTCTCAGCTGATGCCAGGGTCCATTTCTGCACTGGACCCACAGTGGGAGGGGAGAGGTGGATTTACTGGGGAAACAGCAGCACAGGCTTCAGGGTGGTGAGCCATTCTCCCCTCGCCACTGGCAGCAGTTCTGAGGCTGGGGACTGGGCGTGAGCCCTAGTCAGCCTCGCTAAACACGGCAGTCCCAGTCCTTGGCCAGGACCAAGCTGTTGGAGCCTGGCCTTCCGTGGAGTCAGGGTCCAGCTCAGAAGTGGGCAATGAGAGATGAGGGATGTCTGCTGCAGTTGTGGGAAGAATTTGCCACTTGTGAGGAGTCCTGGCAACCACAAGTCACTGCACAGGACCACGAGAGCTCAGGACTGGGGAAGGCAGAGCAGAAGAGGAAGAGCTTGGGTTCCTGAAGGGCCCAAGACCGAGCCCAGCCCACCTCTGGACACCCAGTCACAGGAGGAGGAAATTATTCTTGTTTCAGCTGATCTGAACTGGATTATCTGTCACTCTCAGCCAAAAGCACCCCAAATAATATAATCAGTAAATATCTAGTGCTTGCTGATTATTCTGTGCTTAAAAATTGCACACTTACGTGGAAATCAACAAGCCTGTGAGCTGAATCAGTGTCCACACTCGACAGTCCTGTTGTCCACTCTCCCTCCCCTGAGACCACTGGTCTACAGGAAAACACACATTTGCCACCGTTTTTGAAAGGACGCAGCCCCCCCACCCCCCACAGTCCAGCCAGCAGGTTCCAGGAAGGGAGGGAGGGAGGAGGCCAACACACTGCCCGTAAACAAAACTTTCTCCAAAGTCTGCTGCCTTGTTTCTGGAAACTCAGCACACATACATACAAATCCACCCCCAACTGGGGTATACAACATGCTGCACTACTGTCCACATATGGCTGCCACTACTTCCCACGGCCCCACCTACAGCCACTGGTGGAGGACACGCTCCCACCTGGCCCAGAGCTGAAAGCCCTCAGATGCCTGTGTACAGAAAAGAAAGGAGTAGGTGGCAGGACAGGGGCACAGAGGCCGCCAGGGAAGGCATCCTAAACCCACAGCTTGCAAGGCTGAAGGTGACCAGGACCTCTGCTGCCTGAATCCTGGGTATTAAAGTCCTGTGGTGACTACAGTAAAAATGTAGCCAAACATGGACAACTACCAAGGCTGAGGTGGAAGGTCTGCCAACACCGCGTCAGCTAACCTGGGGACTGCACACTGGGGCGTGTCTGCACTTGCTCAGTAGAAGAGCAGGGGCTTTTTGTTTGCTCTGGAATGGACAGGGGAAGGACATGCAGGCTCCTCCCCAGGGGAGTCTGCTCCACAAAGCTGGTGTTACATGAGAACAGCCTTGAGGGCCACACCAGGAGCCAGCAGCCTCGAGGGCCACACTGGGAACCCACCGCTGTAGAAGGAACGCTCTGTTACTCCAGTGCTGCTGCTGACGCCTCAGGTGAAGAAGCAATGTGCCCAAAGTCTTGGTATACAAAACCCCAACCACGACCCCTGCTGCTCATCTCCCTGCTCCCACCTGGGGGTACCCCAGTATGAGCTGGGTGTGAGGGAGAAAGACCAGGTACGGCCCCACCCAGTCTCCCATCCTCTCCACTCTCAGGCTCTGCAGTCATCAGACGTGTTCAGAACCGACAGTCTAACTTGAAAACACACGGTTCTCTCCTCTCTCCAGCTGCGACAGTGCTATATCCTCAGGAGGTGGCCTTCTTGTGTGGCTAGCTGTAGGTAACTAGTGATGGGCAGCCATCTGTCCTGAGTACTGGGACCTGCTAAGCCAGGTCAGCTGCGTTGCCTCTGCCAGCAGGGAGGGCGTGAACTCCAACATGCAGTGATCCGTACCCTTAGCTATCCAACTCATTGCTGCCCTCTGAACTTCAGGGCCCGAGGACAGGAGTCCAGTCGCTGCATGGCCTTCTACACACGACGCAGTGGGCTGAGCCAGCACAGCAGTGGTGTTTTCTGGGGGGGGGGTGGTTTTGAGCCTGCGCTTCCTACACGGTGCTGTTCCTGGGGGTTCCTGGTGTGGTCACTCGTCTGTCAATTTAGGAGAGTGGGCAGCCAGGAGCCTCCCCAGAGATAAACCAAGGCAGAGCTCCAACCTCAAAATATGACCACTGAGGGCAGGAAAGGGGAGAGAAAGAAGAGAAGGAAGGACGCTGCCCCAGCCTCTGCACAGCACCCACCTTCAAACACATGGACGTTCTCCCTCAGCACCGTTGTCATCTGGAGCTCCTGAATCCTCGAGCAATGGCCTTTGGGCAGCAGAACGATGATGTCCACATTCTTAGCCTCTAGAACACTCTCAATGGCAGCACTCCCAGTGTCCCCAGATGTGCCTGGATGACAAGAAGGGCGGCCCCTCTCTTTAAAACAGGGGAATGGGAAGAAGTGGCCCTTGGAGCATGGCTGCCAAATGCAGCAACGACCACTCTCCAACCCTTGCTGGACAGGAATTCCGCACTAAGCCCCAGTCTGTAGACCGTAGAGGAAGCTCAGGACCTCGGACAGCGAGAAACCACACACCTGAAGTGTTCTGTGTATTTAAAGATACTTTCCTGAGAAGCATCCTCAGCCTCTACCAGACCCTAAGGGGTCCGTGGCACAGAAAAGGGTTAAGGACCTTGCTCCAGAGGAGCCAGTGGAGGGCACCCTGCAGGTGGACAGTGCACATTGGGGACACTCAGGCTACACCCCTCACACCCAGGACATGCACCTACAACCACGGTGATGTGCTTCTCCCTCTTCTCCAGGAAGTACTGCAGGAACTGCGCTGTGCAGCTCAGGGACAGGTCCTTGAAGGCACGTGTGACCCCATGCCAGAGTTCCAGGACATTCAGCCCCTGCACCAGCCTGCACAGGTGGACCACGTCCTTGTGGCGGAATCTGCTGAAGGCACGGTCGATCAGACCTGCAAAGGTGGGCGCACCGTGGGGGAGCATGTCACCTCTTCTCCAGCTCCCCAGGCTCTCGAGCACTTTGAAGTCTGGGAAATGTGCCCAGAGGCTTTCTGGCAGGTGGGTGGTGGATTCTCAGCTCTTGGTGGGCAGAGCTGGGGTACGGTGCTCACCATTCAAGTCGTCCCTTGGAATGAGCTCAGGACCAATGAAGAGCGAGCACAGCTCCTTCACCAGGCCAGGATAGGAGAGTGAGCGCCACTGCCGCAGGGTCTCTCCATCCAGCTGTGGGAGCTCCTCGGGCACGTAGAGGCCACCATCAGGCGCATAGCCAGAGAAGAGGGCTCCTTCAAAGTCAACCCGTGGGGCCAGCCCCCGGGTGCTGATGTACCACATGATCCTGGGGGCTGCAGAGGAGACACCACGGTGGCACCTGGTCCTCCAGCACTCAGCACCCCACAGGCGAGGCGCAGCACCCAGCCCCTTCAGCTGGCCCATGAACCACCACGTGCCAGGCTGCAGCCCAGACTGGAGACAGGAGCCTTCCTGAGTCCCCCGCCAGCTTCACCTGTCACAGGCCGAGTCATGACCCCTCCAAAGGGATGCATTTCACAGACTGCTACCTCGGTGAGGAGGTAGGGAAGCAAACTGGAAAAGAAGGAAGCCCAGTCACCGTGGAAAGGCCAGCCTTGGAGTGGGGCCAGGGACAGCAATAGAGGCAACTGCCATTTTTATAGCCCCCTCGGGAAGAACAAGTAGGTCTGCTTCTGCTCAGAAACCTCCACCTTCCAAAGCTATTTAGAGATGCTGCATTTGACCTAGTGGATCTCAACCCTGGTCCTTCTCCAGGATCAATTAAGGAGCTTTAAAAAAATTTACATGCCTGGAGCCCACGGGATCAATACATTAGGCTCTTTAATCACGCGGCTCCTGGAGGGAGCCCCCCTGCAGCCAGGATGGACAACAGGCAGCTGCTCATCACACTTGGCCTGGGACCCACCTGGTTTTAAACCTGGAAGTCTCACTTTCCAGAAAACCCTCAATCCCAAGCAGAGTGGTGTCGCATTTCTCATGACTCAAACACTCAGGATCACTCCAGGGGAACTGGGCTGCACAAAATAATCAATAGAGACAGAGAGACCTTTTCCTTTGGGTCCTGTGATGGCTCCTCTGACCTTAGGGGGTCCATTCAAATGAGGCAAGGGGTCAGGTTTCAGGGGGTGGAGTCTAGCTTTGTGATGTCTGCTGTCAGCAGGTTGACTGACACCTAGGAAGGCCACACCAAAGGTAGAGCAAGAGAAGGGGACACACAAAGGGAGTTTCCACAGAACATTCTATCCCCAACAGGGCAAAGGGGTAGGATTACAAAAGAACAGGTGAGTGTAGTTCAGCCCCAGGGGTTGGCCTACTCAGAAGACTGGTCTTGCTATCCAAGTGGGATAATGCCCAAGTCGCCACGAAATGTGGTGATTGGTCAGAGCCTCCTGTTTCAGGACTGGAAGGTGTGGTCACTCAGAGTGGCTCCCCACAGACTGGCACAGCTGGTCACCTAGTTGATGACTGGTGCTGACCTCTTGGCCTGGTCCTAGAATACTGGTTGTAGTACTGACATGCTCAGGGGCCCTGGCTAGCTGGCAGGGGCTCGTGGTGTGGGAAGACCACAGCAGTGAGTTTAGGGGTTCTGGATGAATTTGACTGAGCAGTTCTTGATACCACTTAGATTGTTCTGTGCTGCAAGGAGTGGAAGGGACTCTGCCCCCTGAGGCAAAGTTTCTTGTCTCTTGGAGGGTGTGGCTAACACTGACAGAGAAGGACAGGCCTCGAACACTATGTGTTTCTGACACCTGCTCTGCATGGGCTGTGCCCCACTCCTCTGCTGGCACCTGAGTCATGTGGTTTATGGGCTCCATCATTGAACCCACAGATCTTTTGAAAGTGAAAGGGACAGAGGTTTTTGTGCTGGGACAATGGGTATAAGCAAAGACCCTCTCGGGCAACCAGGGACATAGGGTTGCCCTACACAGAAGTCCAGGTCAAAGACATGAAATCGAGGCAACTCCAAAGCCACCTAAGATGGCTCAGCAAAGCAGGCAAAGTGCCTTGGAAGACAGGAACAGGGTCAGGAAGCAAAGGCAGAAATGCCTTCAATAAGACAAGAGTTTCTGAAATTCTGTGGCAAGGGTCAGGGCCAACAAGCTGCCCCAGTCCCTGGAGTAACTAACAGGAAGGCTTCACCAGGTCATTCCATAGGACCAGAGTAGAGAGAATGCTAGAGGATGGGGGAGGGTTGGAAGGAGGGAGGGTTACAGGAGCAGCAGAAGACTATGTTCTCTAGATGCCCTTCCCCGGATGGAAAAGCACCCAGCTGCTGGGGGACTGGGGTCTGCTCTGCTCCCCACCGGACAGGCCAGAGGAGGCAGACAGCCTGTCCAGGATCAAAGGAAAGAGGCCGACTGGACTCTGCACCAGCTCCTTGGGCAAGAACTGTCCCGGTTCTGTCCAAGGACCTCAGGGGCAGCATTCCCAGGACAACAGGGAAACGCTATAGAGAAGCACACACCATAGGGTCCAAGGTAATGGAGAAGTGCAGAGATAGAGCCAGCTGCCACCAGGGTCACTAGCCGAAGAAGAACATCCAGCACTGTTCTGGGCTGACAGCTGAGGAGCTGGGCGAAGTGGCCGCTGGAGTGTATTACTGTGACTCCCTTGGATCTTATTCCAGATTGAAAACAGGAAAACGCTGAAATAACCTGGGTAACTGGTAAGGTCCCTCGGAGCGCTGAAGGTTGGGTCGGGATAGGGGTACAACTGAGGACGCGCTCTTGGGAAGAGACTGCAAAGGAAGCGGTGGGGCAGCGGGACGCTCAGTGCTGGGGGCAGAGGCCCCTCGGGCGGGAGGTGGGGAGGTGGGGCCCAAGACAGGGTCTGGGCCCAGGAGGCGACTCTCAGGAGGCTTGAGGCCCGCTCCCAGCATCTGCCCACGCCATCTTCCCAGTTTCGAGCTCATCAAGAGCTGCTAAACCCCGCAGGAAGCGCAGAGCACAGGAAGCCTCCCCCTCCGGGCTGCCGCGCGCCAGGAAGAGGCCAGCCCGGGCGCGGAGGCCAGCGCGGCCCTGGAAGCAGGGCTATCTGAGAGCCAGAAGGTGGCCCGAGAGGCAGCGGAGGGCGCGGCGACGCGGGGGCGGCGCGGTTACCAGTGGACGCAAGTCGCGGCAGGCCTTCCGGGCTCCCCACGGCGCGCGCGTCTCTGAGCGAGCAGGGCTCGGGCCTCCTGGCAGGAGGATAGGCTCCGGATTCTAACGTGGGACTGGAAGGCTCCGGGACACTGCGGGAGGACCCAGCAGATCGCGGGAGAGGGCGGAGCAGGGGGCGGGAAGGGACAGGGCGAGGGGCGGGAGGGGCGGGGCAGGGGCGGGAAGGCGGAGTGCGGGGCGAAAGGGGGTGGGAAGGGGCGAAAGAGGGCAGAGCAGGGGGCGGGAGGGAGTAGTGCAGTGGGCGGGGAGGGGGCGGGAGGGGACCGGGCAGGGGCGGGAGGGGTGGTGCAGTGGGCGGGGCAGAGCGCAGGAGGGCGGGGCGCTGAGTGGGCGGGGCAGGGCGCAGGCGGGGGCGGGGCAGTGGGCGGGGCGGGCGCAGGAGGGCAGAGCACGGGGCGGGAGGGGGTGGTGCAGTGGGCGGGGAGGGGGCGGGCATGGGAGGACTGGGGCCTCACCTACCAGCACCGGCTCAAGTTGACTTCGTGTGGAGCCTCCGCTCTAGAGAGACTAGAAAAACTCATTTTTCAGATGAGACACCAGAAGGCTAGATGGGAAGAAGAAAGTCCCTTCCCTACTTTGGGCTTCCTGACTCTCCCAGCGAAACCAGAGAACTGGGCAGTCCTTAATTCTAAGCTGGGTGTGGAGCCCACGGGATGGGGGACATCAAATTAGCTCAAAAAAGTCCTTTACAGATGGTGGAATGTGATAGGCATCATTATCCAAAGTACATGTGTGAAGACACAATTGGTGTCAACATACTTTATATATAGCCAGAGATATGAAAAATTGTACTGTGTACAATAAGAATTACAATAAGAATTGTAATGCATTCTGCTGTCATTCATTTTTTAAAAAACAAATCAATTTAAAAAAATTTTTTTTAAAAATCCTTTACAGGGGCTGAGGGTGCTGTTTGGTGGTAGAGAGCTTGCATCGCTAGAGCCTTGGGCTCAATTCTCAGTCAGGAGCTGGGCTCCTCTGTAAGGAAGCACTTCAGTAGAGATCTATTCTAGGGTTTAAACAAACAAACAAAAAGGCTGCTCCTAGTTCATTTTTAAGAACAAAATCTGGGCTGGGGGTGTGGCTCAAGCGGTAGTGCTTGTCTGGCATGCGTGCGGCCGGGTTCGATCCTCAGCACCACATACAAACAAATATGTTGTGTAAAAAAAAGTCTGGAACTTGGGGAAGAAATGACCTCCAGATAGTTCCAAATGCGCCTGGGACAGTGACTGATGTTCTCACATTCACACTCTGGGTCCCCTTAAGAGGCAAAGTTAGTGGAGCTGGACCTGACAGGTGGCTGGAAGTCGCTGGCCTCAGGGGGTTAGAAGATGTGGAGCCACACCTATTTCCCCCTTTATTCCTGCAGGACACTTTTCTGAACTTGTGATCTCTGTTAACTCAAGTGTCCTACCGTCCACACACTGGCCCACTTGACATGGCTGCACAAGTCTTGGCAGCTGCAGCTTACTGTCTAGTCTAGCGGGTCTCCTTTTCTGGAAGAGGAAGATGGAGGGAGGCCTGAGAGACCCCACTGCTCCTCCCAACACAAGCTGGAACCAGGGGCTTGTCATGGGGCTCACACAGGGTCAGGAGCCATTCCCACTTTGACTCAGAAGCCCTATCCTGGTGGTGAGGAAGACAGAATTCTGAGAGCAAGCAGGAACAGAAGGAGCATGGAGTTATTATTTACAGACTTCTGCAAGGTGTCAGCATTTAGTTTTTGTAAGATTCAAAACTTTCTTTTCCTTTAATCCTTGCCGATTGAGTGCTCAGCTGTCTGTAGCTAGGAGACCAGTGATCCTCGAAGCAGAGATCAATGGACACAGGAGTCCTGGTTGTCCCTTTCTTCAGGCTCTTCCAGGCAGGGTGCCTCTGTCTCCAAGCACTGGCGGCAGGAGCTAGAACCAAAACCTTAGCAGAGGGTGAGGAACCCAGGTCTGGACTTCAGCAGAAGACAGCAACCTGCTGGGAGCCCCCCCATCTGCTGTGAGAGCAGAGGCCAGGTGCAGGATTCTACTGTCCAAGCCAGACCAGGACAGCAGTCCAGAGGGAGAGAGGATGCCATCTGAGTCAGGACGCACCTGTTCTCTGAGGGTTTCAAGTTTCTATCTGGATGATCTATCAGCCTGTTGGAGGGGGCATTGTGTGAGGAGGTGAGTGGTACCTAGGCTCAAGCACCTTGAATCACACTCAGGTCCCTTCCTGAGTTTCTGACTCTCTGTAACAAGGGTTCCAAATAAACAGCCCCAACTTATCAAGAAAAAACTGAACTGGCATAATTCCAACCACTTTTTTTTTACCCCAGAAATGGACAAGTTGATCCTGAAATATGGATAGGACAGGTAGTAAGAATAACCAGACTAATTTTGCAAAAGAAGAACAAAGTTGCAGGACATACACTTCCTGCTTCAGGTATAGAATAAGCAAGATGGCATGGTACTGGCATAAGGCTAGACAAGCAGATGAACAGAATACAGCTGAGTCTAGAAACAAGCCCACATGCCGATGGTCCACTAATTTTTGGTAAGGACATCAAGACCACTCACCATGGTGGGACAAGTGGACATCCACCTGCAGATTAGTGAGTGGATATCCACAGGCATCTATCTATGCAAAAATGAGCTCAAAGTGAGCTCAAAAATGAGCTCCCAAAACCTAACTGTGAGCACCAAAATTGTAAAACTCTTATAAAGGAACATAAGTTTTTTAAAATCATTGTGACCTTGGATTAGGCAACAGTTTCTTAAATATAACACTAAAAAATGTAACAATAGAGAAAAAAGATACATTGAACTTCATCAAAGTGAAACTTTTGTCATCAAAGGACTCTATTATGAAAAGGACTCTAAATGAAAAGACAGCCTACAAAGTGGGAGAAAATACTTATAAATCACATACCTGATAAGTGTCTAATATCTGGAATATATAAAGAAAGCTCTTAAAATTCAATAATAAGAAAGCCTAATTTTAAAAATTAATTTATTTATCTTAATTCATTATACATGACCGAAGAATGCATTTCAATTCATAGCACACACATAGAGCACAATTTTTCATGTCTTTGGTTTACACAAAGTAGAGCCACACCATTCATGCCTTCATACATGTACCTAGGGTAATGATGCCCATCTCGTCCCACCATCTTTCCTACCTCATGCCCATTCCCTTCCCCTTCCTCTCCTTTGTCCTAAGTTTCCTCCATTCCTCCCATGCTACCCCATTATGGATCAGCATCCACATATCAGAGAAAACATTTGGAACTTGTTTTTTGGGGATTGGCTTTCTTCACTTACCATAATATTCTCCAACTCCATCCATTTACCTGCAAATGCCATGATTTTATTCTCTTTTAACACTGAGTAATATTCCATTGTGTGTATATACCACAGTTTCTTTATCCATTCATCTATTCATGGGTATCTATGTTGTTTCCATGGTTTAGCTACTGTGCTGCTGTAAACATTGGCCTGGCTATGTCCCTGTAGTATGCTGTTTTTAAGTCCTTTGGGTATAAAACAAGGAGTGAATAGCTGGGTCAAATGGTGATTCCATTCCAAGTTTTCCAAGGAATCTCCATACTGCTTTCTAGATTGGTTGCACCAATTTGCAGTCCCACCAGCAGTGTCTGAGTATGCCTTTTCCCCCACATCCTCACCAACACTTATTGTTGTTTGTCTTAATACCTGCCATTTTGACTGGAGTGAGATGAAATCTTGGAGTAGTTTTGATTGAATTTCTCTAATTGCTAGACATGTTGAATATTTTTTCATATATTTCTTGATTGATTGTATATCATCTTCTGAGAAGCGTCTGTTTAGTTCCTTGGTCCATTTATTGGCTGGATTATTTGGGGTTTTTTTTGGGGGGGGGTGTTAAGATTGTTGAGTTCTTTATATATCCTGAAGACTAGTGCTCTATCTGATATGTGTGTGGTTAAAAATTTGCTCCCATTCTGTAGACTCTCTCTTCATCTCACTGATTGTTTCTTTTGCTGAGAAGAAGCTTTGTAGTTTGAATCCATCCCATTTATTGATTCTTGGTTTTAATTCTTGTGCTATAGGAGTCTTATTAAGGAAGTCGGGGCCTAATCTGACATGATGAAGATTTGGGCCTATTTTTTCTTCTATTAGGCACAGTGTCTCTGGTTTAATTCCTAGGTCCTTGATCCACTTTGAGTTGAGTTTTGTGTATAGTGAGAGATATGAGCTTAATTTCATTTTGTTGCATATGGATTTCCAGTTTTCCCAGCACCTTTTGTTGAAGAGGCCATTGGAAGAACGATCAAGGCTTGCCGTTGGAGAAAATGCTGTTTATTGCGGAACAGCTCTGCATATTTATAGAGCTGGGGTCAGTTTGACAGTTATGACAGTTTAATGGTTGAACCATTTGAAGGTTGGCTGGGGTGCTTTCTGATTGGTGGGTAAGGATCATGTGAGCCAGCAGGGCTCACCATTGGATGGCTCTTCTTGGGGGATGGGGAAGTTAGTCTTTGGAGCTGGGGCGACTCCCAACATTCCCCCCTCTTTGTTATTAAATGAGAGTGGGCGTCGACTCATTCTGGTTGCTTCCTGCTGAGATGGGTAGGTGTGGGAGAAAGAGAGGAGGGAAGTAAGGAGCCCCCACAGGAGGGCAGAGAAGACCGGTATCAATGAAGGTTCCTTGCCACCACAGATCCATGATGATGTCAGTCCATTCGGCATAAGTCTCGACTGGAGGTATCATCCGTAGCCAGGAGTTGGTAATTCCTGAGGAGAAGCTGGTTAAAAGCTTGATAAGAAATTTTACCCACCTGAGTCTGAATGAGCTTTATGATAAAGGGAAGGAACAGACACAGGGATTTTTTATAGCCCAAATCTAATGGGGTCTCTAGGTCTGCAAGCTGCCTTGTTGGCACAAGGGGGGTTAAGTGTTCAGCCTTGAGCGGGGGCTTTGGCATTTGGGCTTGAAGCAAATAGGTGATAAAGAACCAGACAGAGGGTTTGAGAAGCCAGGTCATCCTGCAGGTAACTTTGTTTGGCATGACCTGAAGACCAGCCTGTCCTGCACCTAACACCCTCAGTTCCTCTCTTCATTCCTAGTACAATCTAGCTCCCT